ACACAGTTTCGTACACGATAAAAGCTCCTTGTGGTTTCTCGGTTTGGCCAATTTAAGCATCCATAAACAACGCAAAACACTGGCATTTGGAGTTTCTGCTAGTGATTCCTATGGAGAGAAAAATCACTTCCTGCCCTCCAGCTGCATTTCGCGTGTCATCAGTGATGTCATGTGCAAACAACCTATCCCTAGTATAGGATGAGAATAGTTTAATAGTGAAGAGTTGGGGTGGCAGAGGGATGCCGGAAAACTGTCGTGGGACAGAGGTAAGTTGGCTGTATATATATATATATATATATATTTATTTATATTGTGCTAGTTAAGCTGATTAACTGAACGAGTAATGCCGAATTGGTTGATTATCTGATCGTGCTCCTCCCGAACCTTGTTAATAAAACATCATTTATTTATTAGTAGTAGTTTTTAATAGTTTTTAGTTGTTATTAGTTTATAATTTTAATATTTTTTAAATAATTAACTGCATTAAATTAACACATTAAATTGACAGCCCTATCATATTCCTGCAATGTGTAAAGATTTGGCGCACATTGGCAAAAGGACCATCAATTTATGGCAGTGTCCTTGTGCCCAGTAGTCTGCTACTGTGTTTGCATTAATAAAACCCATCTGCCCCAGTTCATGCTGGCTGTCTCCCTGCCTTCCTCTACATCAATGAAAAACAGCCTGCCTGCCACTCTCATGGGACTCTGATCGCAATAACATCTACAGTCTCTAACATCCTTTCAAACAGGGCACACAATCTCTCTCTCTGGCTGTCGCTCATTTTTTCACACTGAAATTACGGAGTTTGGATGCCATGTGTGGTGCCCCACAAATTCTTCTTCACAGCTTGTGAGCTTGTTAACACAAAAGGGCAGTCAGTGTCATTTTGACTGTTTTTGGGTAAAAATCCACCTGAATCGTCAACCCAAAAGCTGTAGCTTTCAAAACAAATATGGTGCCATGGTCATGTCAGTTCAGATGTCATTTGTTCTTGCATATCTTGTCTTCGGTGCATATTTGACTTAAAGGGATAGTTCACCCAAAAATGAAAATTCTGTCATTAATTACTCACCCTCATGTCTTTCAAACCCATAAAACCTTCGTTCCTCTTTGGAACACAAATTCAGATATTTTTGATGAAATCCGAGAGCTTTCTGACCCTGCATAGACAGCAACAGAACTACCATGTTCAAGGACCAGTAAGGTAGTAAGGATATAAAATAAATATAGTCCATGTGACATCAGTGGTTCAACCTTAATTTTATGAAGCTATAATGACTTTATTCAGCAATTTCTTGTCTTCCATGTCAGTCTTCGACGTGCGTTCACAAGAGTACCATGCATGCATATGGTGCTGCTGACACAGGAGCCGGAACCCGGATGCGCTGCACCTTGTTTGCAAGCAGAAGAATGCACACGCATGTGTCGTGGTACTGTCGTGAACGCACATCGAAGACTGACATGGAGAAGAAATTGTTGAATAAAGCCGTTATTTTTTTATGCACAAAAAGTATTCTCGTAGCTTAAAAAAATTAAGGTTGAACCACTGATGTCACATAGGCTATTTTAAGGATGTCCTTACTACCTTTCTGGGCCTTGAACGTGGTAGTTACATTGCGGTCTATGCAGGGTCAGAAAGCTCTAGGATTTAATCAAAAATATCTTAATTTGTGTTCTGAAGATGAACGAAGGTTTTACGGGTTTGGAACGACATGAGGGTGAGTAATTAATAACAGAATTATCATTTTTGGGTGAACAATCCCTTTAAAGAGAAATTTCAATAAAAAATTGTAATTCTGCTATTTACTCACCCTGATGTTGTTCCAAAATTATCTCTTTCTTTTGTGGAACATAAAAGAGGATATTTTGAAAAATGTCTCAAATGTCTTTTTTCTGGATCGAGCCCTTACGAAGATCTGAGATGACCAGACACCTGAGAAGAGAAGATGCCAACCCCACCGAGGACCTCAGATGACGCCAACCCTGAACCAACATAGAAAACGACCAAATTTTCCTATAAGTTTGATCACAACATATAATCATTGCACCTTGACAGTCACCACTGATATGCTATTCCTAAATGTAATTTAGAAACTTTCATTTTCTGTGAAGCTGCTTTGCAACGATTTGTATGGTGAAAAGCGCAACAAATAAACGTGAATTGAATTGAATTTTCTGTTTATACAATTGAAGTTAATAGTAAGCAGAACTACTGTAATGGGTTCCAACATTCTTCAGTATACCATCTTTAGTGTTTCACAGAGGATTGTAAGTCATACAGGTTTGGAACAACATTAGGGTGAGTAAATGATAACAGAATTTTTATTTTTAGGTGATCTAACCCTTTAAGAACTACAGTGGATGGGAAGATTTTTGTGTATAACAGGTTCAAATATTCATTTCTGGTGCCGTGACCCGGTGACTACTGTAGGTGTTGAGGAATAAAGGCTTGATATATAAGAGCAAAGATGAACCTCAGCAACACAAAGTGTTGATAGAGACAAAGGCCTCACTGCTGACTATCACAGCTATTTATACAAGTGAGTGAGTGGAGAAGTGGGAAGAGAAGAAAGAGAGAGGAAAAGAAGGAACATCAGAGGCCTGATCTTTTTTTGCTGTGTGCATTGCTTCTAAACATATAGCATATATCTGTAGGAATATAAACATTTTGTCATCTACACAGTCTCGCGTCATTCTAAATCCATGACTAGATTTCTTCTTTATAATGCAACAGAAATTTTGAATAACTACGCAAAAAAAAGTAAAAAAAAAACAAAAAACAAGCCACATAAGTGGTCCATATACTCTGCAGTGGTTCTCAAAACTGATTTTCATTTCTGCATTTTCATATTTGCTGCATCATATTCAGATGTACAGGGGGAAAAAAGCCATAAAGTATCTTCTTTCAGGTTCCATGGTGGAAAATTATCCAGGTTTGGTACGACATGTAAATCATGACAGAGTTGCAACTATTCCTTTAAGCCAAATGTGTGCTTCTAGTATTTTTTTTTTTAGCAAAACACACTGGATAAGTGTCTATAAAAATGCATACACAAACACACACACAAAAACATCGCCCTGTATATTACAAGTAAATTAGAAGCAACAACTCAATCTTAAATTAATGTCTTCTCGTTTTGGGAGAATTCTGCTACAAACAGTACCTCATTTTCTCCACCTGTGGAGTGGCGTGAATATATTCTTGGCATGACAGCAACGGGCTGCTGTGTCAACCTCATACACACACATCACTCAGTGTGTGTCTGTGGATCTGTCAACACCAGTGCACATCACAGATTCAGTGCTGCAGGTCTCGGATGCCGTAGTAGAAATTCTCCCAGAGTCTAATTCCACCTCCGCAAGCATTAATGGGAACGAGAGACACCTGCTGAGAAACTTGAGCCCCAAAATGGCAGCCCTTCTTCCACACCAAATGTGGAAAACAGGAAACTAAACCTTAGCCTTCTTTACTCTACCAGCTTAATCTTGTCAGTAGCCTAATGAAACAATGCATGCTCATTCAACAAGTGGCTGCAACCTAAAGCATTAGTGACATTTCAAATGCAAACATTTTAAAGATTACATTTTATTTTACTACAGATAAAATCTAGATTATCCATCGAATAGCACTATCAGCCCGGTTCCTCCTAAAACAATGGGTTTTCTAGGGGAACCATGGAAAACGCAAAACTGCACTCTATTCATTTTTACATTCCATGCATTCCTAATTATTATTTTATGGTTGACCAAATATTATTTAAGTGGTTGACAAATATGTGCTTTACAATGGCAGCAGGGTGGTTGATGGCATAAAAACTGAATTACAAAATTACTGAAATTAATTTTAATTTTACACAAATTCCACAATATATACATATATTTAAACAGTTTTTCAAATAGTCTATTCAAAAAACACTTGGACTGTTTCGTGAATGAATCGATTCATTTAAAAGATCCAATGCAAAGATTGGTTCACAAATCAGAAAAAGCTGGTTTACAGTTTATAGGGATTTTAAGTTGTAAAATATTTAGTTTACACCTTACAAGGATTTGAAGTTGTAAAATATTTTTGGACATATAAACTTGCCTATTTGGTTTATCCTACGTGGGTTAATGTTTGTGAGAAGTCTTAGAATCCTGTAGGCTACTGAGAGTCAAAGGTAGCCTATTTATTTAATACAAGTTTCTGGAGTGCAAATGTGTTAGCGTGAACAACATGGTTGATGGAAAACATTCATTAAAGAAAGCTGGCTGAACCTAAGCGATGATAATAATGGTTAAGCCAACACTGAGGGGAAAGGAACAGATTGATGCCGTGACTGAGTGTAGATCGTATTTTGTTGCATTTAGCGCCTCGTGTCTGCTCAGTCACGCACATCAAACTGTACCATCAATGGCATCCATGGCATAAATTCAAAAAGCCATTTGAATGCTAAATAATGCAGAATGTCTACAACTGATTCCGATGGTGAACCTGTTGGCTGCCTAATGTGCAACAAAATCAGTACGTTGTTCAAACTCTAGTGACGGAAAATCATTGAAGCATCGAGAACATGACAAAAACACCGCGGAAAATTACAACTATTCCGCTCCACGCACGCGAACTGTTAGTTCACTTTGTGTACGTTATTGTAACGAGCATTTTCTTTTTCTTTTCAATTTCAACCCGAATACGCACAACATAAGCAATTATGTCGGACAAACACACTAAATGCGTTACATTTACGAAATGTAAAGACATAAAACACCACAAAAGCTGCGTATTTAATACACTGTTGCGTAGACTGTTCAATAAGATTACTCATGTTCCCCTGACCCAAAGAACAGACTTAACTTACCTCACACACAAAATATTGTCCTCTGAAATTATACACGGGTTACACATTCAGCTGAAGGCAGAATTTATATCTATCACAGCGCAAACAAGCTGCTACTTCGGGAATATTCCGTAAAATTTAACAACTCCACGCGCTTCCTCGTGATGGAGGTGAGCGCGCGCGCGTATCTATGGTGTATGACAACAGGAAATTTTCTATTGGGAAAACATACGCTTATAGAGCACAGAAGCGCCTCCCCCGTCCAACACTACAACCAGCCAGTCCTCATACTGACACATCAAGATCCACACTCAGCTACAAATATGACAAGACATTCTCAGCAACAAACATCATGTGCAAATGAACATGACGCCACTGTATAAACTCAAAGAGCACCAGGCGCATCATATTTATGAGGGTGATGCAAATAAACAGGTTCTCTGGCTGGAATTTAAAATATAATCCCTATATTCAACTAATTTAGTAATTACTGCTGGATTATTGATTAAGGTTTTATTTACAGTTGCCAGTAGTTTGTCAGATAAACAACAAAGCAAGGAATCAACTCTCCTCTTAATGCCAATTTATAGCGCCTATTAAAGCAACAGTTAACTCAGAATTAAAAATTATAGTTTTCAAAATTGTTCTAAATGTAAAAGTATAGCAGAGTCCACCCACAACTATAACGAGAACACAGAGGAACGATATTGTTGGGATACTTTCAGAATGATTTCTTTCCAGCTGATAAACAATAAAAACATCAGCCAATCAGAATCCTGCTCAAGAATTTAAAGCGGTAGATGACAAAACTGCAGCAAAGGGGTCATATGATGCTGCTAAAAATAACATTATTTTGTGTATTTGGTGTAATGAAATGTGTTTATGCGGTTTAAGGTTAAAAAAACACATTATTTTCCACATACTGTACATTATTGTTTCTCCTCTATGCCCCGCCTTTCTGAAACGCGTCGATTTTCAATAGTATGTTCTGCAGTTTCAGGACCGCAGTTCTAGGACCCTATTCTTTTGTAACAGCGCCACCTACCGAATTGGATCACTAAAGATGGACGACATGGACAGCAATCAGAGTGAGTAACTACCGATTTTCAATTAAGTTTTATTTTATAACCTTAAAATGATGCAAAGTTTCCGTAGCCAACGTGAGAACTGCTAAGAATTAATAATGAATTCCCGATTGCTAATTTTATTGATTATTACTATGTTCTTAATTCGTGACCATGATTTAATTAAGCTAAACCTTGTTGACATAATGACTACAATAAGTAAATATAGCCAGCACATTAATTAAACTTAAAAAGATGATAAAAGCATGTTGATGTGAGATGTGTCAGATTTACCTGTAGCTTACTGTATTAGTGTGAAAACTTGTTTGATACTCATTGTTTTAGCATATTAGTTACGTATAAATCATCTTTCATAATTAAACTGGGCTCATTGCTTGGTTGCACCACAATATGTGTTATTAGCCTGTCCTTTTGGCAGTACTTTAACGGGAAGCGCTCTAAGGTCTCATAAGCTAACCTCCTCCCGAGTGCCTGTCTACCTCGACAGTGAGGAACAACTGTACTGTTTGCAGATCTGAGAGGAGTGCTGCATAGGACACCAACACAATTGAGCTTCACAGATGAAGTGCAGAGGTATGCAGACCATGTAATGTGTTTGTGAGTGTCCTGCTCCTGCACTTACAAAATCTACTGTATAAACTGCATGCTGGTGCTACTCGTGTATGGACCAATGTATAATGGCTTGCTGTTCAGTAGTGCTATAATAGTATAGTCTTTGCAACTTTACAGATCTTCTTTATGCACCAAGAGCTTGTAACACTCCAAAGAGAAAGGAAAAATTTAAATCGCATCATATGACCCCTTTAAAATAAACAGAATGTCATTGTCCGTTGGTGTGGAAGCTATCGTTCTTAAGGTCCTTACACACCGAGTCCAACATTTTTGTATGCGTTTTTTTGTATTAGTCATCCTTGCACACTGAGTCCGATGCGTATTAATTAATCCACTGCGAAAAATTCGCAAAACAATACAAAATGGAGTCTTCAAGCAGTGAGGATGGTTTTGTTGTTCCCTCTCTTCTTAAAAAGAGAAAAAGAAAGAGGAAATATTGGGTCCATCCAATCCTGAGATTGCGTAGAGAGAGTTCCATCTCCTTATCAAGGAGGAGGAATTATACTGTGGGATTATCCGGAGCGATTCAAAGTTTAGGCTACTTTGAAACTTGTCAGTCAACTTGTCAGACGCCATTCTGGATTTTGGCATTCACTTGTACAGTGGCTCTGTACACCTCTCAATATGCTTGCTATGGATGTGAAAAACACATAAATTGAACCTGACCCAAATTTTTTTATGATGGACAAAAGTTTCGGAGGCAGTGTGTAAACGTGATTGACACAACCTGAGGTCATATTCATTTGTTAACATGCAAAAACTTTGGACAAGAATTTCGGACTCAGTGTGCAAGGACCTTTAGTGTGAACAGGCCTTTACTGAGAACGCTGGAAAAGAGCAGCCTGGACATTCTGCTTAACATCTCATTCTGTGTTCTATGGAAGAAATAAAGTCATACCGACTTAGAATGACATCAGGGTGAGTAAATGATGACTGAAGTTTAATTTTTAAATGAATTATTCCTGTTTCTCTGCCCACCCATCGAATGAATGGACGGATTTATCCTTGACTCATACATAAATAGATTATGAAATGAAACATAAGGGCTCAGAGTGAGGCTGAAGCTAATTCCGACCAGCAAGATCATTTTAATTAATTTTCATCTGTTGATTCATGTCTGGAAATGCAACACTTTACAACTGTATCATTAACACTTAAGCCAGAACATATTGGCATGAGCAGTTTCTGGAATGCCACATCTCAAACACAAACATCATGCTTATCGAGATCAAAACACTAGAATCAACAGCAGGAAATTTAATTCTAAGCTTCAGTCTCAGATGCTTTGCTTTGCCGTCGCAGTGCTGCCAGCATTTGAGGCACAGAACTCGAACCCTTTATTTGAGATATCTCACCTCAGAGGCAAACACAGAGCTGTACTGGCGTCAGAGGCAGGAACCGTCTGAAAAGAGAGAGGACAAAGACTGGAAAGGTAAGTGGCACACCTGATACTCTCTGCAGGGGACAGAGAGCTCAAGCCCAGGGGAGGGTCACTGCTTTTCTGTTGCACTAAACAATACAGACAGTGAGACTGCTGGTAAAAAAAACAACAAACACCTGCTTGTGTAAAGGATGATGCAGGATACTGTAATTTCTCCCGATTCCTTTTAAAGAACACATGAAAGTAAAATGAAAGGTTTGTGGCTAAATTCATGTCTATTTGGTTTAAGATCACTTATATGCTAGTGTACTACTAAAAGTTAACAAACATTTCGCAAATATACACTGATGCTCAAAAGTTATGGTTAAGTAATTTTTTTAAATTTAAAATGCATTAAATTGACCAAAAGTGACAGTAAAGCCATTCTATTTTAAATTAATGCTGTTTTTTTGACCAACGATCATGGTTTTCACAAAATTATTAAGCAGCACAACTGTTTTCAAAATTTGTAATAATAAGAATTTTGAAAAGCAACCAAATCAGCATATTAGAATGATTTCTGAAAGATCATGTGACACTGAAGACTGGAGTAATGAAGCTGAAAATTCAGCTTTGCCCGCTCCTCACAGAAATACATTTTAAAATATTTATATGGTTAGACATTTGTAGACATATGCAAAACAGCTTTATTCAATATATTTCTTTAAAGTATTTATGACATCCGGAATTCAGTGTTGCCAGTCAGCTGTTGCTACAATAATTATATCACTAAACAATGCAACTGATGTTCACTTGTACATCTAAGAAGCCAAATACCTTAATAAGAATAGGTTTAGAGGAAACATGATTGCTGAAGCGGAATGTAATACTTGCTGGCATGAGGATGATCACTGTTTAAAAAAAAAAAATGACAGAGAGAGTGAGCCGAGCTGCAGAGACGAGACTAAAATGAGACTAAAATGTCAGATGAGTCACAGTCGTTCCAGTGAGACAGTGCGCCTTAAAATGTTTCCACTGGCTTGAATGGAAGCAGAAAATTTACTGTGATGCTGTCAGGGGAGCCAACCCATAATCTGATCTAAATGGAGCTACTCAACGCCATACTCTGCCAGGAGAATAAAAACACAGATCTGACCTACTGAAAACAAATCATGACACACCCTCAGAGTTCAGATGCCATCCTTTCATCACCAAGACGACGGCAACTCATCACTTTTGTATTCAGGCCAATATCTAATTAAATCACTAGAAAAGAATTTCGAACATGACAGTAAAGCCGTTCCACTGCCCCTATGTGAGAGCTGGACCAGAAATAGATGGTGTGCCAGGCATGCTGGAAGAGATCCAGAGTATCCCAGCTCTCCAGAGACAGACACCCTGCTATCTTCCACAATCTCTCTTCAGACGGACAGGCTGAAGTTGGGAGGTTTGGCCTTGCCTCAGGCATCTAGACATCTTGCCCATGAGCTCACAGATCCATTGTCTACAGCTGTAACAAGTTCTCTAGATTAACTGAATGCTCCGATATTAACTGACTACAAAGCACTGCACAAAACCGTGCAGCACCAAAAGTCGCATCAATGGTAAATAGTGTTCAATTCACTTGTATTTATGTATTTATTGATACACTGTATAAATACAAATACATAAATACAAGTACATACAATAAATACAAAACTTTTGTATTTATTGATACGCTGTTTAATATTTCATAAAAATATAATAGTTAATGAAGTCCAAGTGCCACCTACAGGCCTATTAGGTGAAGTTTGACTGGCGAAATGATGTTGTGAAAGGACTTTTTTATATTACCATTTTTGATAATTATGCAGCATTATGAAAGTCTCTTATGCTCATCACTGCATTTATTTGATCAAAAATAAAGGAAAAATCTGTAATATTGTGAAATATGATTACAATTCAAAATAACGTTTTTCTGTTTTAATATACTTTAAAATATAATTTATTGCTGTGATCAAAGCTGAATTTTCAGCATCATTACTCCAGTCTTCAGTGTCACATTATCCTTCAGAAATCAGTATAATATGCTGATTTATTATCAATGTTGGAAACAGTTGTGCTGCTTATTTTTTGGAACCTGTGATAATTTTTTGGGGTTCATTGATAAATAAAAAAA